AAAAAGGTGATCTGACCGTTGTCCCGTTACTCCTGTTGTAGCGCACTGCCGATCGTGGCTTACGTAGCGGGTGCAGCTGAGCGCATTAATCGGATGCGACAGCCTGCCAGAGAGACCTTTGAGGCGGAGGCGACGAGGTTTCGGGACAAGCCCGGCCTCGGGCGAGGCGGAGCGTGTGGATTCGTCCGAGAGACCCCTACCGGGGTCTCGGGCGGCGACGGGCGAGGCGGAGTAAGATCGCGAATCAAAGGCCTGCCGAGGGGCTCGGGCGAGACGAGAGGAGAGGTCGGTCCGCTGATTCCGAGGCTACAGAGAACCCGCTCGACTCCCCACGCTATGATGTCCTTGGTGCAGGAGTTAGGCGGCACAAGAGTCGGTAACCCCCGCTCTGTGCCGCCGCAGATGGCGAGAGGTTGACGCGATCGGGCGTGTAGTCGGTCACTTCACTGCATCGCGCCGCCGCGTGCGTCCTGTCGGAGTGGTTGGCGCTTGGATGCGACGTTCGGTCGAGCGCTTTGGTCGAACAGCGGTCACGGGCTAGTCGAGCCGGCCTCGCGCTGCGAATCGGAGAATCGGCACTTCTTCTAAGGCCCCGGCGAGGGGCCTCGACGAGGGGCCTCGGCGAGGCGGTCTCGAAGCGGTCGGAGAATCGTTTGCTTCATTGGGGCTCGGCGACGAGGTCTCGGGCGAATCGGAGATTTCGGCCGAGACCTCGTTTGTTTATTCCGTTGGTTCTGTTTTTAGGGTCTAAGCAGTTTTTCGGTACCCCATTTTCTAGTATCCGACAGTACTAATGTGGCATACCAATTATGTGTTGATGTGCAAGTTTAGGGTAAATGACACCGCAATAAAAGTTCTGGGACTAAAAAATCAAAATTGGAGAACTGGGACCTAGATGATGGCACCGTTGTATAAGTTTAGGGACCCGTTAATCAAGATTTAAAAGTTAGGGACCCAGATGGCACCATCATCTAAGTTTAGGGACTGCCGATGAATTTTATTCTTTATTTAATATGCAATTTTATCGATGTCTATTATTCAATATGTAGAGCATATGTGTCTTTCCATTCATTCATTTTTTAACTTTCCCTGTATGCATGTTTTTTTATTTTAGTTAAGGTAGTGCATTTGTTTAAATTACTGAAAGGAATATAAAGAGTGGATGGCGTGACTTGCAGGAGGCAAGGGATATTGACAAAGCCATATATGTCCAAAAAAAAAGGGTTAAAAAAGGTCGAGTACTGTTTCGTGCATACATTTATAATCTCTTCGGTGCTATTCCGTGAATTCACCAATTACCAGTGTTGTTTCTTGAACACCAGCCTAAATTAATGTTATTTTGTGAATTCCCTCTACACATTTAGTATGTTAATTTTATCTTTTTTTACATAAATTTAATCGAATTTGAGAATATTGGGCTGAACACTATTCTAGAATTTCATTATTTTAGAACAAGACACTGAAGAGTCATAAAACATGCCTTCACTGGCAGCGGCGGATCTAGGAAAAATTTTAGAGAGACTGAATAAAAGTACGACAGCAACATAGCTTTACTATGATCCCCCACAATAGTCAAATTTAATAGTTTGAAGTAGTCTTATATTAAAACATAGAAGAACGATGAAAATCATAAAATACATCATGAAAAATAAAGGATGCGGCTTATTCATACCGAAAGGCGAAATTACGAAACTAATAGATAACGTGTGACGGTGACAGCCATTATTCATCCGAAGAAGAAATCTACACAAATAGACATAATTAATTAGTCAAACATATATGGACCTCCAAATTATGAATTTAGAAAAGAATAGAGCGTACCACTAACTTTTTAGGCAATAACATACGGCGTTTTTTCATCTCTTGAAACCGCTTTTTGATCTTTTCATTACCAATATTTCTAAATATCTTCTTCTCGTTATAGCATATCATCAAGTCATTGAGTCATTCATTACCCATTTTATTATGCAAATCTATCTTTATAATGGACATGGCTGAAAATATTCTCTCAACTGAAGCCATTGCCACAGGTAGTATCAATGTTAGCTCAATGAGACGATAAACCAATTTATAAGATGTGTGCATATTATTCTTGACCATAATTTCAGCAACTTTTCCAAGTTCAGTGCATCAAAGAAAACCTGGAGTTCTTCTAGCACGGTTGATGAATTGTCTAAGTTGATTTGGCAAAACAGTAAGGTCACCAATATCAAAATCCTCGGCATAAATTTCAGCAAGCCTCACAAGTTTGTCCACATCAAAATTAGAGAAGTTGTTCCTTGGGTTAAAACAAGCCATGCATACTAATAACTCTGAACTAATTTCACTAAACCGATGATTCAGCTCAGTCAAGATGGCATCAATGCCAACAAGAAAAATCTCAACATGATAGTAATGCTTGTTTGTTACCTTTTGCTTTCTACGTCTAAATGTCCCTCTAACATTTATTTCCTTATCTATATCTGGCACTTCAATCTTATTCTTTTCACAGAATGTTTTCACTTTTCTGAGTAATGGCTCCCATCCATTGTTCCTCATGTCCCGCAGGCCATCTTTCACATCAGTGATCAAATGCATTGCTTCAACTATGTCTTGATCCTTCCTTTGCAAAGCACGTGACAAAATATCTGTCATGCTCAACAACTCTATCATCAAATGCAGGATGAACACAAAATCAAAGCTCTCCATTTTTCCAATTAAACCTAAAGCTCCACCATTACATGTTGGTTTAATGGAATCTTTCGTCACTATCTCAAGGACATCTATGATAGCCTCCCACATCACCAAAATGCGAAGCAAAGTTTTAAGATGTGAACCCCATCTAGTATCTCCAGGCCTAACTAGGCTACTTTCCTGGTTCAAACCACTTCCAGTCATAATCTCACCATTCTCAATCTTTTCAAGCAGCACATCATGATGCTTTGCAAGCAAGGCATCCTTTCTCATGCAAGATGCACCCACATTATTGACTATTAAAGGAACATAGTTAAAGAAATCTGCAATGTCTGCACTAGATGTTGAAACGGTAACAACCACCAGTTGCAATTGATGGGCAAAACAATGCACATAGAAAGCATAAGGATTTTCATTACGAATCAATTTCTGCACCCTATTAAATTCACCTCTCATATTAGAAGCTCCATCATACCCTTGTCCACGAAGCATAGAGATTGACAAATTGTGACTTGAAAGCATACTTACCAAAGAATCTTTCAATGCAATAGATGTACAACTCTCAACATGCTGAAGTCCAAGAAATCTCTCCACCACTTTTCCTTCATCATTCACAAACCTGCACGCCACATTTCATTATGTGTTAGTATAACTGTAGAAATAGAGATAATAATCTAGGCAAGAAAATGCAAGTATCGACTACTAACCTTAGAATCACCGCCATTTGCTCCTTAATTGATACATCTCGAGACTCATCAATAAGCACCGAAAAATTTCTTCCTCGAATCTCATCCATAATGACAGCCGTGACTTCCTCCGCACAAGCTTTTGTAAGGTCTTTCTGTATACGATGAGATAACATCTGACAATTTTTAGAACCTTTTTCATATGCCTCCTTCACTACCTCAATCTTATCTTTGTACCATTCAACCATCTCTTTGTAGTTTCCCTTGTTGAGGGAAGAAGTCTCATCATGTCCACGGAAAGCATCCCCTTGCCATATGAGAAATCTTGCAACATCTAAAGAAGATGTCAGACGTATCTCATATCATTTTTCTTCCTCCTTGCTTACTTCAACTAATTTTCTACCCACATTTGTCCTTTGGTTCATAAAGTAATCACATTTTAGCCTAGCCTCTACATGAGTCTTGCAAACACTATGGTTACTTAAAGTATCCTTAGTTTTTCTTCCAATTCACATAACCTTGATGTGCAAATACAGAACTCCCAATTTTTTCAGGCTTTGCCGAATTAAAAAAAAGATAGCAATATAAGCAATAAGTTGTATCCTTGGACTCGCTGTAGTCTAGCCAATTAAATTCATCAAACCAAGTCTTTTTGAAATGATCTCCATTCACCACCAATCACTGGGCCTTCTATATTATAATATTTTATAAGAAGAGAAAAAACAAATCACGTAAAGAGTGATGCTATAATCGCTAGTGCAAGGATTAGCCAACAGACTTTTGCTTGGGTGATTGTACTAATTAGACTGGAGCCATATGCAAGTGGACAAGTGGTCTCACGTAACTATCAAGAGCGTCGTTCCTAATAAGTCAAATATTTGTAACTTTAATTAAATATCATATAAGAGAATATTAATATTTATGGTGCATAATTAGTACCATTAGATAAATTTATTATTAATAATTTTACGAGTTGTTTGGCTGATGATTTCTGCGGCTGATAAACCAGCTAATATTATTTTGCTGTGAGAGAAAAACACTACACTATAACTGATAAGACGAGTTGATAAGTTCAATATCAGCACAAACTATAGAGACATTCTTTTTTGACTAAGATATAATATAATCCATCAACACGCAATATATTCCTGCCTCCTCAACAGTTTTTTTTGCACTGCTTATTTTTTCCTGTTCGTCTACACTGTTGCAAACAGTATTTTTGCACTGTGGTAATTTGCTGTTCGTTCACACTGTTGCAAACAGTCGTTTGCACTGTTCATTTCCCATTTGAGCACCTATGCACCGACCTCGCGTGATGGTCATCCGTTTCTCTCTCTCACACCAAATCACGACCTCGCTTGTTCATTCTGCAGCGTTTTTCTTTTCCACCAAATCAGTTTATGAGCCTGTTCGTTGGTTAATGTTGATACTGATTTAGACTGGTTGGTGCTAGTTTTTTTTTAAAAAAAATACTATTGATTAAGACTGGGGAACGAACATGCTGTACAGCCTGTCTTTCGAGAGAAGAACAGGGCTCCCCTGTCCTTCCTGTTTCCTTCCCACGTTCGCTGTTCACAGGATCAGATCGATAAAAAGCACGCGCGTTCACTGCGCCATCGCAGAAGCTCGTCAGTCGCCGCCATGTATGCGCGCATCAAGACCATTATTGCCGAGGCCCGGTTGGAGTCCGGCGGCGGATGCGACAACAGCAGCGGCGGCGGTAGCAGCCCGGCTTCGCTAGGCACCTCGGAGAGCGATGGTTCAAGCAGCGCCGACGAGCTCTGGCACCACGACCTGGGTGAGTTCCGGCGGCACGCCTCCACTCTCTCCTCCGTCCGCGGCGACGATGTCGACTGTGACAGCATCCGCATCCGCCAAGTCCTCGTGTCGTCAGCACACGACCTCGATGACATCCACAAGCACCAGCAGCGCATGCACCTCCTCCTCCCATCCTTCGCCTCACCCGCCGTCGACGCGGCGCGCGCCGAAGCGTTGTCTTGCTGGCTCACCGGGTTCGACGTCGGTTGGGTGCTAGACATGGAGGCGCCTGGCTTCGGCAGAGGCGAGAGCCTCCCGCGCCGGGAACTTGAGAGAAGGGTCAGCGCGTGGGCGCAAGCGCTGAGCACCATGGAGCGGGTCTTCCGGTTCCAGCACCGTGAGCTCACGCCCGCGCAGGTGGCCGCTCTGGAGGAGCTTGCAGTCGCGAGCACTGGAGCGATGCTGAAACTAGTCGGTGCCGTGGCGGCGCTCGGGAGCTCCCCGTCGAAGCTGCTCACGGCGCTCGACCTGTACGCCCCGGTCTCCGAGACGTTCCCCGTCCTCGCGAGGCTCTTCTCCTGGGGCCCCTCCCACCCCGTGTCGGCTGCTGCGGAGGCCACGCTCGCCGCCCTGGTGGACGCGGCCCTGCGCTGCAGGGGCGATCTCACGGCGTTCATACGATCCCACTACCCGTGGCGGATGCCGCAGGGTGGCGAGGTGCACCCTTGCGTCCCCTTCTGGATGGGCTACTTCCTCTGTATGGTGCGCAACCCCGTCTCTCTCCACTTCATCCTCGGCAACGAAGACGGCGACGCCGAAGCGCCAGGCGCTGAAGATGGCCTCAGCCTTGTTGCAGAGCTGATCTTGTGCCTGGAAGCCGTGCTTGAGGAGAAGTCCGCGGCGCTCGCGGTCCCGGGGCTGCGTCAGGTGTTCATGCTCAACAACACGCACGCTATCATGTGCCGCGCAGCAGTGGGCTCGGACCTTGAGGTCTTCCTGGATCCAGAGTGGATCCGTGTCCGCCTCGACCGCATAGAAGGTTACATCAGAGATTACATGGACGCGTCCTGGACGCCTGTCGTGTGGCACCTGGACGGCGGCGGCCGCAACCGCAAGCAATCCGCGGTCTCCCGGCGCCGGAACCGGAACCCGTTGAGCGCTTTCTACTCGGCGTTTGAGAACGCCTGCAGCACACAGCGATGCTGGAAAGTGCCCAACCCGGAGCTCCGGGGCGTTCTCCGGAGAACCGTGGCAGAGAGCGTCATTCCTCACTATCGTCGGTATTTGGAGGACCACCCAGAGGTTGAAGTGGCATGCGGACGCACCACGGAGGAGCTGGAGCAACAGTTGAGGGACTTGTTTGAAGGATAGAAGACGACCGAAGGTTCAGTTCAGCCGTGTGGTTGCACAAGCCTAAGGTGAGATACTGAGATGTACCGATCCTATAATTGGAGCGGATACCACCTGTGCACCCTAGTTTGTTCGGACTTCGGAAATTCAGTTTGTCTGACGTCACGTTATGGGCCCGAGGAATTTGGATGAATCTGGAGGAATTTACGAGAGAATGAACAGTGAAATTCAGCCTCAAACAGTGAAATCCGGCTGAATTCTTTACCGGCCGAACGGCACCTATGGCTCTGTTTTTCTTTCCTTTTTCAATTTCTTGATTTTTTTACCTCCTAAATAGTTGGAGACTATATGAGAAGTTTTGAGACAAATTTTATTTATATATGTAAATTAGTTGATCGGGTTGTTGAACAGATGTTTTTACGTAACTTAATACATGTTTATAAAACTATTTTAACCAAATTTTCACGGTGAAGTTGAACAAGCCAAAATATTTCGGTCGCAGCACAACGTAACTTCCCCATCAAGCTCTGCATCACCCTCCCGGCCTCCCGTGCCGCGTTAGCGGACCACGGATCTCGCATGCTCGCGCTTACACGAGGGTGAGGTCGTGGGGGTGTCTGAGTTTGTCCTGGACTCCTGATGCCCAAGGCCGAGGGCTTCTACGTCCTCGCCTCAAAGGAGAAATCACGATGCCGAAGCATCCGCTCGTGCTTCTTCCCAAATTATGCAGTCGATAACCACTTTCTGCAACGCCCTATGCTTCCTCAATAACTATATTTTTTTTTCAGATTCGCTAATTAATAACCGGTTGTTTTGCGTCTAGGTAGCAACCGTTTTTTTTTACCGTAGGATTGGTACGGTCCCTCCCGTCGCCCGATGAGGCTGCGTACGGTTGGTTGGTTGGTGACTTCGTTCGGCTGCTCGTTTGTCGCCCGATCGCCCGAGGCCGTTGACGTCGTGCGGATCGAGTGCCATGACCTTTCTTCCATTCGTAAATTATAAGTTTACGAACAATTTAATATATATTCGTAAGTATCCGAGATTCATAGAAAAAATTTGTATTTTTTTTTGAAAATTTGGCATATATTTATCTGAGATCTTGTATTATCCTCAAATTACATCACTCTGTCTAATAGATTACACTGAAAAAATCATTGTAAATATAGTAATAAGGTGATGCAATATAATTACAAGACAACTAGCCAATTGCTACGGATGATAAAACTAATTAATCCAATTTGCTCCCATAAGAAGGGTTTTCAAAACAATGTTGGCACCAATAACGAAGTTACAATAACGCAGTTACAACAACACATGATCTATTATTTGCATCACTGGTATAAGTGGAAATGAGACATTAATCAAATTATATAGCAGTTCACACCTTGCAGTCCAAGGCATGTACATCAACAAACTGCAGCCTCGTCCAAATCAACACGAGGTAAAAAATGTTTGGTAGTGTCACCGTCGCTTGCATATGTTGTGTGATTCTTTTAATGGAATGAATGCTCACTGTTTGAGATACAAGACCAGGGGCAAGTGCCTGGTAGTGTCTTTTGTGAGCTCAAAGTTGCTCAAGAGGAGAAAAATGGTAAGAATTGGAAGAGAAATATCTTGCCATGTCATTGAAATTAAGTACCTGCAAGGCTACAATAGAGCTAAAAGGCTTTGTCAACAAATCAAAACAAGGGTGCACGAGGTCAGGTAGCACATCTGCAGGAAATTCACGTACATCTCCGACAGCAAGCTGGTACAAGAAGCATTTTGCAGCAGTAATGGCCTGAAGGTCACTGGAAAAACATAGTCAAGTGCAATTTGTAGCAAGGACATGGTGCTTCGAACTCTACCATATAGTGAGTGCATGGTTCACTCTGTTGTCACTGAATTTGAGTGCAGAGAAGTGAATAAGAGGATCCAAACACATGACCACAAAACGGTTGCCAAAAATTGCAATCTAATGGTCCTGAGCTAATTTTCCCCAACGAATATTTTTATGGAGATATCAATGTAATGGATCCTTAGAAGAAAACTCAGTCAAGATACTGTAACAAAACAATTAACTATTTAGGAAGCTTGTCTACCATGGTAAGAAATGTCATAAAGCTAAAACTTCAGGTCTGGGCATCCTGTAGATCATATTTTTCATTAACCCAAATATGAAAGGACCTGTCATCACTCTATCTCAACTACTTACAGTAAAAGAAGAATATAACACCGGTGAATATTCTAGGCACAATACTTTTTAATAAAAAAATAAAGAGATATTACACGGTGGTTTATAGGAATTTCTAAGACATGATTCATTCCAGGTTTCTCTTTTTAGGAGTAGAGAAATCAGATTGTACCACGATGGCTAGGTTTTCAGGTGACGCTATTTTCTTTTTCTTCATCAACATGAGGCTAAAACTTATTACAGATCAACCACGGTGGTTACATTGACTACTTAAAAGGTATGCATGAAAATGAAACAGTGAAAGATTGTTAGTTTAATAAGTATGGGCACAAAGTCTTCTGGCTAACTTTCAGATAAGCGGATGCTCGGTACTAACTGAAATTCTGTGTATAATGCCTTCTGATAATCTGGATAGAAAACAGGGAAGAACACAGCCAAGTGGCTAACCTGCATGTCAGGACTAACAGCAGACAGCATGTACCAACAGGTGTTACATGCAACGATCAAAATAAATATTTTTCAGATATTTTGTATATTTAAAATAAAAAAGACTATTTTTCTGCCAGTGCAAACATGTGAGAGATTTTGTAAGAGACGGGTGCTTTCAGGTTCTGTGTATCCCAAATTTTCAGAACACTGTCATATATTTATAAAGGCACAATATCAGTATTAAAAAAATATATAAAGGTTAATTACTCTACAAGACCGTGACTTGGGGCTCTTGGTGGGTTTCAACTCTAGCCTACCCCAACTTGCTTAGGACTGAAAGGCTATGTTGTTGTTGTTGTTGTTGTTGTAATTACTCTACAAGAGAGGAAAACAAGCAGAATTAGCAGATAGACGATCTCAGGCCAACTTATCATCCGGTAGGTGCTTCATGTTCACAGTGATATCACAATGCAATGCAAGCCACAAAAACACCGAAGATGGGTAATAATTTAAAATGCAGAACAAAACCAAAATGGAAGAACATGATTAAATGTTTATCAAAACTAAATGAATGAATGGCATGACAGCTATTTCAGACTTGCAGTGTGTCCAGTGCACTTCCTATTTTTCATAAACTTACAATTTAACTTTCAGATTTAGTACAATGCTGAATCTAGTCAGTAGTCACTATCTTAGCACCATTTATTTTTAGATGAAGCTACAAAGGCAATACTAATTTAACTTTCAGATTTAGTACAATGCTGCATCTAGTCAGTAGTCACTATCTTAGCACCATTTATTTTTGGATGAAGCTACAAAGGCAATACCATATAATCTACATCCGACTATTTTTTATGAAGCTACAAAGACGTTAATTCATTAATTATCACATCCGACTATTTTTGAAGTGGCACACCACACACCATTACAGTTTACAGTTAGAGACTTCGAAACTCTGATATGAAAAAGTTTATAGTTGTAATGATAAGCTGAAGCTTAAAAAATCCAAAGCCTAGAATCCAAAATTCCGAATGTAGGCAATGTTTATGTAAACACAATAGCTCTGTTAAGGAAGATGGCTGACCAAAACAACAAAATCTGAAGAACTAAATTACTGAAATTAAAAGAAAAACTGCTTACCTGCTATGCTCCTACCAGTTTGGCGTTTGCCTCTGCGGAGTGCAGCTCTGCTGCCGGGTGCCGGTGGCGTGCCTGCTGCAGCTGGCTACGGTCTGTGGCTGGGGGCTGCCGGCTGGTTGCCTGGCTTGGCCGCTGTGCCGCCTGCGCCCTCCAGGCTGCCTCCTCCTTGTGGCCCGCTGGAGCCGGCTTGCGCGTCGTCTTCTACCTCTAGTTAAATGCGTCCCAAAATCCAAATAGCTGGCCCAGAAAAGCAGGAATGAACGGATGTTCGTCTTCTACCTCCAGACGCCCTCCAGTTCGCCTTTAGGCTCTAGCCCCTCCTTCTCTTCATCCCATGGCAGATCCGCTTGCCGTCGAGTAGGGCGGGGCCCACGCCGGTGTACCCGCCGCCGTCGCCGCCACAGGAGGAGGAGGTGGAGGTGGTGGAGAGACGGGCGCCGTCCCCCGCGCCCGCGTCGGCGTTGGGGGCGCTTGGCGGTAGCGTCGGGGGCGAGGCGAAGGGAGCACTCCGCGGTGGCGGCGTTGCCTTGACCGCTATGGAGGCGGCGAGGAGGAGCAGGAGGCGCGGCCTGGGCAGATCCGGCCTGCGCGTCTAGGGTTGTCCTGGCCGCGGCGGCTTCGGGGGCGCTCGTCGGCGACGGCGGCGGCCTCTTGGGCGATCGGCGACGGCGGCCTCGGGAGCGCTCGACGGCGGGTCTGGGGCGCTCGGCGGAGGGGCGAGTCGAAGGGAAGAGGAGTCCCTTTTTTTTTCGGGAACGGTAGAGGGAGCCCGGGTACGTTCGTGGGTCGGGAAGGCAGGGGAGTCGGAGGCAGAACGATAGAGGTGTAAACTAAGACAGTTTGGTCTTTTTAGGAGCTAAAATAACCAGCTGTTGGCTACAAATCATTGTATTATCGACTACAAAATTGTAGACCTCATCGATTTAATTTGGAAAAGGTTAGTGGTTTTACTGTGGTGCATCATGGTTATCATCATATTACGAACCAGCGATCAAAAGTCTCAAAACCATATTGAACTGCAGAAATCCATGTCCGTGAGTGGGGTCCAAAACTGCCTATATTCGTCCCTGAAGAAGGGCCAACCAGGCAAAAATCCTAGGCAATAATGATACCCGAGGCATAACTGGGGACTCAACGGCCTGAAAAGCCTGCAAAAAGGAAAGGTGAAAAAGCAACCAATCAAGATTCGGCAATAGACTCAACGGCCGCTGATACTTGGGGTGTTACATTTCACGAGTTCCACTCCTTGTTACTGATGAGGCTATTAGTTACTGAATCT